CATGCGGGAAATAAACAAGCGACCCGGGCGAACGCAATTCGAGACATATAACAAGAGACCGATGAGACTTTGTAATTCTGTGCGGGAGAAGAGGAGCGATTGTCCCAGTTGGATAGCTCTTCATGATTTTGAGTGAGTTTGGCGATGGGTACGGCAATGGTCATGTTGACTGTGTCAAATTCAGAACCGAGAAAAGTCATAGTAGTAGCAGGAGCACATGCTTTAGCCACGGATTCTTGAAGGCCGAGCTCGTTTAGCAGATTTCCTAGACTCTCAAAAGCCACAGTAGCGTTGATTGGTAACTCGGTTGCGCCAAAATCGTCGATATAATTGATCACCTCGTGCCCTTGGTTGCGTAGGATGTGACGCACTGCATTGGTTGACCGTTGACACATTAAGGCCGCTGTGCGTAACCCGAAAGGTGGTGAAACGTCAAAGTAGTATTTCCCTGTCCAAGAATAGCCGAGAAGGTGGTAGTCTCCCGGATCCACGTAAAGTTGTCGGTATGCCCTGCTGAGGTCCCGTTTGTAAAGGAGGCAACCGGAACCAAGCGTACGGATGCGATCTAACATGGAGTTAACTGTTGGATATCTGAGCTTGTAATCATCCCCGATGTAACTGTCCCCTGGGATGCCGTTGTTGACCGAGTAGCCTTCTGGAAAACTTAAGTCCACGACCACGCGACGGGAAGATGAGCCCTTCTTGGCCACGGTCATTAATGGTGAGGTAATAAGCGGGCGAGACAATGGCGGAGTGTCGAACGATCCAACGGATGCGCCGAGAAATAGCTCCGATTCCAGAAAACTGTACACGTGCTCAGCGTAATGTAAAGCCGAGGTGTGATTCGTTGCGTGCGAAGTAGGAAGAAAGTCGCGCGAGTAGTTGATGGGCCAACCAAATTCTAAGAAGTCGCAGATGTCGTCGTCGTAATCGCGTAGAGAATGACGCCAACACTGAATGTTCAGACCGGAAGAGATCGGGATGCGACAACCTTGAAAGTTATAAAGGCCTGAAGCGGAGATTCTGCGATGTAAATCAACGTAATGCTGTGCAATGCTGCCATCAGTGTTAGAAATAATGTGATCTGGCGGTACAGAGACCGGACTGGGCGATGCTGACGAATGATCAGCTAATGATGGAGATGTTGTTGATGATGTTGTCAATGATGGGTGTGTAGCCCTCGACCTGCTTGTGTTGTGATGAAGTGTGGGGACGAAGTTGATATCGCTGAGGACCGCCTGCGATGTTGGCGCTTTGATCCTGCTTTATGTCAGTGTGGTTGTTGACTGACCGGTGAGAGCGGGGGATTCGAACTTGTTGTTATCGAAGACTGTGCTGCTGAGCTTGGGTAATGCCGTGTCCGTAAGTGACAACGGTGATGTAGCTGCTGGTGGCGTAGGTGTGGAGCCCCTGACACACATGTGATGACTGAAAGTGTTGGGTCAGACCCGGTGATGTTGTTGCTAACCGAATCGAGCAAAATAACGCTATCGTCCAGAGATACGTGTATAGGCGTTGATCTAACGGGGAGGTCACAAGTCGTTGACGTGGTGTCTGACGGCTACACGTGGAGTCATGAGGAGAATGGTTTATCGCGGTGCAGAGGTGACATGGACGTGCCTGACTTCTGTTTGCAGTCCTTTTCGCTGTGATTATTAAAACTATTGCGGGTAGCATAGCAATGATTGCAAATGTGTTTAAATTTGCATGGATCAAATGAGCAAGAACCTTTCTCATTGAAAGCTGTGCACACTAATACAGACGAACCGTCCGGGTTGGAGGTATTTCTGTTGCCGTTGTTTGTCGTCTGTTTCTGGGTGACTGATTTCAACTTGTCGGCTGAAAAATCGAAAAACAGTTCTTTCACGTCTGAGTAATTGCTGTCCCATGTACGTCTGTTATCATCGATTAAACAAGCCACTGCCGCGTGATAGCTCCGGACAATGGGCCATTTGTACAATGGTAGTTTAACAAACAAATCGTGCAGGAGACGTAACTGGCCCTTTTGTTCTGCTTTGGGCATGGATGGGTCCTGCAGTAAGAGTGTGTAGCCCTGTAGAAATTGTTTGAGTGATAAGTCGTCGTATTTCAGTTCATGTGAAGAAAAGAATGATGGAACAAACTGTTCTGGAGATTTCAATAATAACCCGAACAGAAATGACTGGGCACGAACAGCGTGCGATGTAAACAGTGCATGTAAACAGAACGAAGCAAATTGGCTACAACAATCATGCGCAGTGAAGAAATGAAACAAACAACCGAAGCTTATGCAAATGGAAAGTATGCAAATGAATAATTAACAATTTTGAACTGCTTACAAAATACAACAATTCTTTTCTACGGAAAACATGGTGCAAATCAGATGACATGCTCAGTTATTTCCCTGTTGGGAACACTGCATCTATATTATAAATATAGTGTCACCTTCGTTGTTTTTTCCTTTTTTATACCATTGTGAATTTATCTGCAGAATAAGATATCACCACTTGAATGTGTGTCTCTGTGAACACATCAGGCTATACATATATATTTGTCTAGATTATCATCTCTAATGTTGGTACAAAGTTATTTTCACTGATTTGTCTTTTGCAGGGCATCTGGCAGCAAATATGAAATCAACCAACAGTATGTGCCTCATCTTAGGAATTTCCTGACAAAACCTCTGATACAAAATGAACAGGATGGCGTGAGAGACGTGATTGATTTACTGGACAGTTACGATCTTCAGAGAGAAGATTTTGAGAGTATTTTAGAAGTAGGACAATTTGCAGGAAGAAAAGACCCAATGAGTTTAGTCAATTCTAAAGTTAGTATACGTATCTTTATCGGTTATGTTGTGTTTCGTTTTGGCCCTGGTAAAAAAAATGGTAAAGAAGTGTGTTATGACCTGACCCATTCTCTTTCCCAGAGTTCCTTGCGGTTAGATCACCGATTTTTTTTTTTTTATTAAAGGGCTTTCTTGTTGATTTATTCCTACTGGAAAACAAGTTTTAAAGTAATGATAATGATTTTTCCGTAAATGCACTGTCAAGGGTGAAAGAGTTATAATTTACAAAAGAAAATAATAATTGCGGAATAACAGTTACTAAGGTGTTACTAAGTTCATCAAACTGACCGTCCTGTCGATTGAAATATAAAGAAACAATAGCACTTAGGGATATTGACGCCTAAATCGTCTTGCTGTCACAACGTTTGTGTTACGGAATCTAAAAACAGCCTGAATCTACAAACAATGCGTACACTTGGATGGCAATGTTTTGTTGGGTCTCTTTGGAAGTAGTGCCACTGTGATGCATCAATCAATCAACGACAAGCATAAGATCGCGTGGTGGCAGAGATATATTCATGCTTGGTAGATTGAACCTGATCATCATATTCTTTAGATGCAATCATAGATCTTTCCATGTTATGTATTACTTTTCATTCTGATCAAATGAATTATGTTGTAAAAAAAAACACCTGTTACCAATTAAACATTTGGTACAAACATGTATGCATGAATGATGATTCATGAGGGGGGTGGGGTAATTCATCTAGTGTCATTGTTTGGGACTTTGTTTAATCAACCCTTAATGTTTTGCATTCTGCAACTGTAGGTTAAAGCAGCATTTACACGGACTTACAACAAAGAAAGTCACATGGTACCATACTCGATGGTTGTAGCAGCTAAGAAGAAACGCGGTGCTGATACTGGGCTGGAAGATGACTTGCCAATAGATGGTGAGGGTGCTACCCAACCTGATGCAAGTGATGTGGAAAGTGATGAAGATATTACCCATGATGCAATGATTAAGGTGAGACATTTTCCTGTACTAGTACAGGTAGTTTTTAACTATAGAAAAATAGTCCAAAATGGGAACCTAATTTTGTCTGTCCAAAAGATAAGTTTGAATTGTGAATTTGTTGTGAATTTGACTATTCAAAAGTTGCATTATGACCGCTTACAAGAAATTTACAAATTTGTCCACTATTTCATTAGCATGCACACACATTAAATTGCATGTTTACTGCTACAAGAAAACCATGGTAAAGACACACCCACATGGTTTGCATATTTCCTTAGAAACATTATCATCTTTTTATATTTCAGAGTAATTAAATTATTAAATTTTCGTCATTGCTTTTTTACAGACCAAAAAGCCAGGTTCTAAAGCTGCTAAAAGTACTGCAGCTAATAAGAAACCCACTGATGGCAAAGGTAAAGGCAAGGGGAAAGGAAAAGGCCGTGGTAAAGGAAAATAGTGATCTTGTAGATTTGGAGGCCTTACTCATGTTAGCAATTGTTTTATGTAAATAAAGATTGTAAACCTCACACTGAGGACTGTAAGCCCCACCTGAAACATTGAAAACCCCACACTGGGCATTGTAAATCTCGCACTGAGGATTGTAACCCCAACACTGGGCATTGTAAATCTCGCACTGAGGATTGTAAACCCCAACACTGAGCATTCTAAATCTCGCACTGAGGATTGTAACCCCAACACTGAGCATTCTAAATCTCGCACTGAGGATTGTAACCCCAACACTGGGTATTCTAAATCTCGCACTGAGGATTGTAAACCCCAACACTGAGCATTCTAAATCTCGCACTGAGGATTTTAACCCCAACACTGGGCATTCTAAATCTCGCACTGAGGATTGTAACCCCAACACTGAGCATTCTAAATCTCGCACTGAGGATTGTAACCCCAACACTGGGCATTGTAAATCTCGCACTGAGGATTGTAACCCCAACACTGGGCATTGTAAATCTCGCACTGAGGATTGTAACCCCAACTGGGCATTCTAAATCTCGCACTGAGATTGTAACCCCAACACTGGGCATTGTAAATCTCGCACTGAGGATTGAACCCCAACACTGGGCATTCTAAATCTCGCACTGAGGATTGTAACCCCAACACTGGGCATTCTAAATCTCGCACTGAGGATTGTAAACCCAACACTGAGCATTCTAAATCTCGCACTGAGGATTGTAACCCAACACTGGACATTGTAAACTAAACTCTAAGATGATTGTATACTGTTTAATATGAGAATTGTAAACTCCACTTCACGAGGCTTGAGAATTCTCCACTGAGCTTTGTAAATCCAAAAGATGGTTATGGATACTGTAATAAGAGAATTATAAACCTCAACTGTAAACCCCACATTGAGAACTGTAAACCCCACATTGAGAACTGTAAACCTTACATTGAGAACTGTAAACCCTTCATTGAGAACTGTAAACCCCACATTGAGAACTGTAAACCCTTCATTGAGAACTGTAAACCCCACATTGAGAACTGTAACTGAGGATTTTAAACCCAAAATATTGGGAATTGTAAACATACAATTGTGACCTTCCACTATAACAATTGTACTCTTTATCACTGAGAATTTCACTGATCTCTATCAAGCCCAGGTTATTTGAGAATATTTAAAACAAATTATCTATCAGTTTGGAAATGTTGTCACTAAGGAGTTAAACTCAAAAATATATTTTGTAGATTGTAAATTCCACTCATTTACATAATTGATTAGAAGCAATGCATGTATTAACATGCTGGAATTGTAGACTGTAAACAAGTTTTCTTGTTTTTCAATCTGACCACTGTCTGGAAATAAATGGTTCCAGCCACTACTTGTCTTGTTAATGTATCATCAATGTCAATTCACCATTGTTGTCTGACACCATATGATCTTTAAAGGAATGTTCCCAGGTGAAAGAGCTCCATAAATGAAGGAGAGTGCAACTTACAGTTATTTTTATATCACTTTTCATTCTCTATATATTCAACTTTTCATAAATGCAGTCGGCCATCTTGATTCTACAGCAAGGGATTATGAGTAAAATGTGAGATCACATTTTGTAAATTTTACAGTACATTTCACCACCATTTTGTACCATACAGTTTTAGGTTTTGAGCAAAAGGTGTTTACATTTGTATCAGCATTTCACTTTGGAAGGAGCAGACTGTACAATAGTGCAGTGATTAATTGAGTTAGAAAACTGGGATTATGGATTCACCTCAATGCGTCTGTCCGATCTTCCGTCTGGACTGGAATACCTCAGCCAATCACATGCAAACGTTACACACAAATGTATCTTAGGATACATATGCATGTCCATTCGTTTTTACACATTGGTAATTTCAAAATGCTGACCCAGTATATGTATGCTGCAGTGGCCATTTGCGTTATTCATACTCAAAAATGCATATCTGCATGTACCAACTCTGAAAGTTGTTGTTTCAAGATTCCAGGAAATCGCTTTCTGTGCCAAACACATGGCTGCACTTCATGTCAACAAAACTTTATCCATATCCTGACGACTTCAGAAATCAGCAGGAAGACCATTATTGCACATCATTGTAAACAAATTTATTGTTTAAAATTTTCTCAGAAGTCAGTGTTCGACACACTACTTGGCATAGTCTACCCAGTGTCATAGCAGTGTCTCATTCCACTCTAGTTTTGTAGGATTGAGTTCATTCATGAAAGCCACAAGCAGCTGTCAGAATAGAACTACTAAACTTGTTAGTATTCTGAACTCTGCGGTATGGGTCACTGTTTGGGAAAGGCTGAGATGGACCCTGCAAAGTTTACCCACCCTCAAGTAGTGATCAACTTGGGGTGGAGGTCGGAGCAGGATCCATCAACTCCGCATTTGAAACTGGTTACAGACTATTTGAATATAGGAACCATCTCATGGACAAAAACAAACATTCTGGAGTTGTTAGCTCTCAGAAGGGTGCTAGTTTAGTACTTTATGAGCTAGAAACAGTGATATGCACTCATGTCTACAGTAATCAAGATTTGATGATTAAATAGCTACTTGCAGTAGTCCAAGCATGTTCATCTTGTAGTGAGCTAAGTTAAGTACTTGATCCAGCGAGTAACCTGCCCACCACTGAAGGCCAACAAGCCTGAAGAAAATGACCGGAGGAAGGATACACCCAGAACAAGCCAGACCGAAGGTTATTTGGGGTTCAACAATGATCACATTCTGCAAATTCAGCAGTCAGAATACACTTTATAGGGAACAGGATAGGTCATTGCAAACAAATGAGATTATTTATCCCACATAAGCTCCACATGTTTGAGAGGATGGCGAATCAACTCTGGGCATTGTAATATGCTTTGCTCAGATACTAGGTCTGTGCTGAGGCCTGTGTACGAGAAGAGGTGCAAAAGAAGCTTTGAAATTTTCCAAAAGATTGTATGATATACCCTGGTTATAAAATGGTCTACTTATTGATGAAAGACAACTAAACGTACAAAAAATGGTGAATTCACTATTCACTCTGCTGATGTAATGTTTTCCATATCCAAATTATCACATGTGAGCTTGTTGCTTCCATGCGCAAAGCAGTGGGAGCATTGTGGTTCCCTTCTCTGTGTATGTGTGTGGTACATCTATTTCATCCGGTTGCATCTTAAAAATACTTAGACCACTGAAGCTTGACAGTCATCTGAACATTTGGTAAAGTTTTGGTGCATTTACTTACTCATTAATTTCGTTTTTACCATGATTGTTCAATTGAAAGAACTCCCACAATGCAACAGACTGAGCATAATTCAACAGATGTTTGAATGTAGTAATGAGGACCTGTCAGACTAATAAAGTAAGAAAAATGATTCATGAACCCGTACAACAGTTCAAGCTGATGGTTGTACACTTATCAGTAAAGCAGATGGTTTTGTAATTGACTTCTGTGTAAAAGCACACAATGACAGTCTTTGTGGTTAGTCTGTGTATCTGTGTATGTATGTGTCTGCTCCACTGATATCTACCAATTATCAGATTTCAATGACACTCGGCTCATAGATACATCGTTTGCATAATAATTAGGTTAATTAATAATTTTAAGCATTTTTATTTATTTATATAAAATTTGATACATTTATTAGTTTTTGAATGTTAATTACCTTATTTGTTTAATAATTCTTTTTTTCTCAACTTTTTACGCGATTTTAATGAATACATAGATGATTTGGAATAATGAACTCTCTTGATTAGGTTGTTGATGAAATAGGTGCATAATAATAACCTAATTATCATAATAATAATTAGATAATTTTCTCAATTTTTTTCTCAACTACTTAACAAATACCAACTTGACAGATAAATGGTCTGAGATAATTCACATACCTGATTAGTTTGCAGGTTGCAGTCTTAATTTGCATATTAATTAGCTAATTTTAGGCACCTCATGTTTTTTATTTAGACTTGTTCATATTAATAATCTAATTTGCATATTAACGAGCCTATTTAGCTTTTCCTAACCACTCAACAGATTTTAATTAAACTTATTTAAAAATATTTAGTTTAAGGTTAAATTATGTGCTTACTAACTACCCAATTTCCGCAATTAACGAATTTATAAGTGTTCCACAAATATCTCAGCATGCATTTGGATAGTCCACAGATCTGATTACTTCACGTTTGAAATCAATGTATATGATTTATCCACCTTGTATTAATAAATTCATGTGACCTAATTAATATGCATAAGTGTAACATCTCAAGCACTACCACAGATGACAACCAACCAGTGCTATAATAAGGTCAATTGACAAAAGATAGAACTAACATACCATATGTCCATATATGGTAATGTAACCTCATTAATATGCACAACTGTTATATCAGACAAAGTCTGTGGTCAAAATAAGACATATTTCAACGACCTTGCATGAAATAAATGCAATTTCTGCCTCATGTAAATTAGAAATGCTTTTCTAATATAAGAAATACAGTATTTCTTATTTGTACTTCATGCCTCCAACATCATGGGAGCTCTTTCTAAGTTCCTTTGATCTGTTTTAATGTATTTCGATATGATTATTCTAATGTTCACCCAACAGCAGTTGACATACCATTCCAGATTCTCGAAGCTTATTGTCTATGTGTGACTTTGATATTTTCGAGCTGTTTGAACTATATGTCCACATATGTTGAGGTGACATTATTTACTTATCTGTCCTGTCATGGAAAATTATGGTAGTGACAATACAGAAAAACAGGACAAGAGCAATTAACTAATTACACTATATTTATTTCATCGAATATATGCATGCACAAAATAAATCACAGAGCTGATAATTGATCCACCCTAAAACACCACCACACCTTACGCTTGTTTCATAAACTTCAAACAATTCTAGTTAAAACGTTAATTGACCCTTCACTTTTCCTATACACACCTACAACGAATTCAATACATTATAACCGTTTATTCTGTAAATACGTTCTTAATTTGTAAATTATTTAACAATTATAGTTTAATTTTACTAATCTAATCTTTCAATAACGCTTGAATATGGTTCCCAAACACAAACCAAGTGCTTGATAAAACTTTGGTGTAACTTGTTGTGTATTGTATTTCTTGCATGTATACACATATATACATATACACTTTAGTTGTAACCAAGGCCAGTTTATAACCACTGAAAGTTGGTCGCAACTACTTAAAAATATTCAACACCCACACACATTAATTAATAAACTTTAAATTAATAAACAGTGTCGTGTAATGCAATGTGAATTATTTGAATAATGTATTCGTGCATTTATCAATATTATTCATATTTAATTCTGGTAACTTTCTTCTATTTCAAAGGCTAGTCAGACTCAGGAGCATTATATCTACAACTATTTATGTATATTTCTTCTTGTTTATAGTATTACAGCATAATTCACTTCTCTGACCAAGGAAACTATAATGAAGCCACAGTTGTAGGTTCCGGAGTAGTCTGGGCAGCCACAGTTGTAGGTCCCAGGGTAGTCTGGGCAGCCACAGTTGTAGGTCCCAGGGTAGTCTGTGCAGCCACAGTTGTAGGTCCCAGGGTAGTCTGGGCAGCCACAGTTGTAGGTCCCAGGGTAGTTTGGGCAGCCACAGTTGTAGGTCCCAGGGTAGTCAGGGCAGCCACAGTTGTAGGTCCCAGGGTAGTCTGGGCAGGCACAGTTGTAGGTCCCAGGGTAGTCTGGGCAGCCACAGTTGTAGGTCCCAGGGTAGTCTGGGCAGCCACAGTTGTAGGTCCCAGGGTAGTTTGGGCAGCTACGGTTGTTGGTCCCAAAGTAGTCTTGGCAATTGAAGTTGAAGGTCCCAAAGTGGTCTGGGCAGCTTCAGTTGTAGGTTCCAAAGTATTCTGGGCAGCTTCAGTTGTAGGTTCCAACGTATTCTGGACAGCTTCAGTTGTAGGTTCCAACGTATTCTGGGCAGCTTCAGTTGTAGGTTCCAACGTATTCTGGGCAGCTTCAGTTGTAGGTTCCAAAGTATTCTGGGCAGCTTCAGTTGTACGGTCCAAACTAGTCTGGGCAGCTTCAGTTGTAGGTTCAAACGTATTCTGGGCAGCTTCAGTTGTAGGTTCCAAAGTATTCTGGGCAGCTTCAGTTGTAGGTTCCAAAGTATTCTGGGCAGCTTCAGTTGTACGGTCCAAACTAGTCTGGGCAGCTTCAGTTGTAGGTTCCAACGTATTCTGGGCAGCTTCAGTTGTAGGTTCCAACGTATTCTGGGCAGTTTCAGTTGTAGGTTTCAACGTATTCTGGGCAGCTGCAGTTGTAGGTTCCAAAGTAGTCTTGGCGGCAGCAGCTGTGCGCCCACCATTGGTTACAGGAAAGGTGAATGCAGGCATATCAGTTAATACAGGTGGTTCAGTAGTAGGGAAAGTGACTGGGGGCAAATCAGTATATTCTTTTGTTGTTTGTTGTTTCTCAGTAGTTTTTAATGTTGTTATACTTTCTGTTGTTGGCGACTCTGTTGTCACTATGGTTGTATAAATGGCCTGCGTTGTTTCTGGTGGTTCTGTTTCATACTCAGTTGGTTCTGGTGGTTCCTCTGTTTCAGACTCTGTTGGTTCTGGCGGTTCCTCTGTTTTAGACTCAGTTGGTTCTGGTGGTTCCTCTGTTTCAGACTCTGTTGGTTCTGGTGGTTCCTCTGTTTCAGACTCCGTTGGTTCTGGTGGTTCCTCTGTTTCAAACTCCGTTGGTTCTGGTGGTTCTTCTGTTTCAAACTCCGTTGGTGCTGGTGGTTCCTCTGTTATCTCTGTCGGGGCTGTTTCTTCCGTTGTTTTCCCAGCAACTATGTCCCCAAATAATGCAATTTCGGTGGTTAGCTCAGTGGTAAGCTCAGAGGTAGGCTCTAACTCTGTGATGCTTGTAACGGTATAGGTCACTGTCATATTTGAAATTACAGTAGTGGTTTCTGTTGAATAAACACGTACAACACGTTGTCAATATTGTCTTGTAATTTGTATTGTTCATAGTACTATTTTAACACTTCTTGCGGTATAATATATGTCATATCACTTTGTAGTGTAAGTTTTCAAATATTTGCCTTCCATATAGAGAGTATGAGAATTAATCATATTCTATATTTACCTATTGGTGTTATGTCAATATTTGTTAATGAATTTCTAACTTGGTACGGACGTTTTGGTTACAAGAATTTATATATCCATAATATCAGTGGAAGTGGTTGTTTTCATACACGTTATTACGACATAACCGGACTGAAATTGTCTAGAGTCATTAAATATTATTTAATGTTTTTCATTTTGTGATATCTTAATTCCCTAGTTCTTGTACATAATTTGGATAAAAAATTCTATTTCGATTTCTTCTTAAAACAGCTTGCCCTGATACTTTTCTTTGTAGATACCTTTGATGACCCACTTAAAGACTGGAATACCCTTTGTTATTGTACTGATTTTCTTCCATTATTTTTTCGCACAATGTTTATCATGTAGTTGTAGTTCAATTTGACATAGTTCATATTTAAAGATAACATATATTGGTCTAGTGGTTGGTTTTAACCGTAAATTTAAAGAAAATACAGGAAGTGATAAATTGTTCATGCTTCTGAGGCATCGGATAATTATGGGTACTACTAATATCGTGAATAAAATATATAGTGACATTTTCACAATAATTAATCGAAACCAACAAAAATCTTCTTCAAATCTGCTCAGGAAATATGGTGTATCGTACTTCTAAATGGTATAAGTGATTTTTGATGAGTCTTGTTATTTTATTGTAGTTTGAATCCCTACATATCACATACTTATACTTTGGGCTGAATTTGCATAGCCTTATACTTTCTTCTTTAACTTCTTCCTATATCAATTGTCAAATCACATTATTGATTTACATTGTCGACTTTACAAATGAGTTGTGATTTCATGAATATTGCCAAATTGGATCACCTATTACATCAAGTAAAAGAAGTAAATTGTGATTCTCAACTTTTCCTGTTTTGATACTAATTGCAACAACTTTTCTGCTTGTCATGCATTGAGACACATTTTCAAATACTTAGCACAAACGTATCATTGATTTTCTACTTTCAGAAAAGCAATCGTATATCAGTTTTCTTGCCATACTTTTTTGTGCACTGGAGACAACACCCCACGTCCAAATATACAAATCTGTTTCTATATAACTTCACCATGTATTTATACGGAATGAATTCATGAAATATCTCATGTGTAAGTGTTTGATGTCATAGGCTCTTTGTAGAATCTTGATTGCTCGATAATATTTTGAGAAATGTTTTCTATAAGAGCAGTGTGGTACCTAATTTGTATTCAATTAATGAATTAATTATTTAGGTTAACTAAATAAAATAAACAACTGCTGTAATCCTCGTACTTGAAAACTGTATTATACTTGGCTAAAATTTGATTAACGTTTTGTTCTAAACAATATACAAATTAAAAAAAGAGACATTTGCTCGTTTTTTTGTCGTTGTCATAATTTTATGGTCTATTCAAAATATTCGTTATCATTTCGATAAAAATAATATTTTTAATGACAATTTCCAAGTGTATAAAAATTTGAAATGTACCATATTTGCATATTTGCAATATTAGAAATGCATATAAACATGTCTTTGTTGTATTAAAATATGCCTACAAATAATCAAATTAGGTATGTGATTAGTTTATTTGGTGAAAATAACACCAATTTCATATTTTTTGTCAATACGTTTGTAATTGTTGGTCTCAATAATAACACTACGATAAAGACGTTTTCGGCATAGTGGAACTCTTTCGTTTTTTGGGAGAAAAAAATCTGAAAAAAACCTGATTTTTATAAAATATTTCAGAAATTTATATTAAGAAATGTATTCTCTATGCACCCATAAATAATTTTCATAATTACCGATTATACAAGGAAAATATATTTCGCTATATGACTGAAAGAAGCTGAATGAAACTACAAACTAATATGTAGTGTGTATGAACAATAACTTTACGATTTTACTTGGTAAAAATACTGTTTTTTTCGCATAAAAACGAAAGAATTGCACAATGTCGAAAACTCCTATTTATTTCGGGTAACAAAATACCCTAACATCTATAAGCAACGTGTTATATGTGGTGTGGAACAATGATACTGATCCAGTGGTGTGTAGCTTTACTCTGAACAATAATGAAACATGATATTTCTGTACCTTCATTCTTTTTCTTGTTTGAAAGCACACCGCCAATGATACCACCAATAATTCCGAGAACAACGAAAACAATAACTATCACAATAATGATAACTTTGATGTCACCTGGAGATGCATTTCGTCCCTTGAATAAAAAAATAAGTATATTTAAAAAACGAACTTTGCGAATAAAATTTGTGTCATGTGTCGAAATCATGTTAACCAAAGTGTATATACATATCTTTATATTTATCTGTAAAATGATATATTCAAATTATTTCCCCTCTGGTAATCTCTAATTGTATCAGAGGGTATTGTTGTGCTGTATAATGGCTGGAATTAATGTGAGGGTTGACTGCATTGCAATATTAAGAACTAGCAGCTTGTTATTACTTCTCCCTTTGTCATTGGTCTGTGCGGATTGGCACATTTTGGCATATAAAGTGTTCATCAAAACATGGCGGCCTCCTATGTAGAGATGTGTTTGTTGTACTTGTATAATTTTCAGTAAGGACCCATTTTATAATGTTTAGGGCTAGTAACGTTCAATTCAGTCCTGTATTGCCTGAGTTCAATGAGATAAATATGTTTTTGTGTGATTTATACAGTCACAGCTTATTTCTGTGACTTTTCTCAATGTCACTTCTGACACAATTGTGTTGTTCTGTATCTTAATTAGTACATGTTAATTTGGTGATGTCATGTCATTCAGACAGTATTTTGAAAGTTTAATTATTATATATTATAACGCCATTTGTTTACGCGAGTCAGCTGTCAATCTTCTCCATATATATAGGTAGTGGTATATAAATACACAAAATGATATGGTTATATTTGGGACCGTATTCTTGTTCTTTTACACTGATCAAATACGTATACACTTCTTTATAGACGTTTTTTCAGAATGTTCAGTAGTGTTCACAGTAGTGTAGTGTTTTTGATGTGGATTTCGGCTACTTGCGAGAGATCCTCTAACATTATTTTCTAATGACACAAGGTCAGACTAGGACAATTGAAATAAAATTCCCTGGCCAATTGACACATACCGAAGATGAATCTGTAGGAGTTCAATAAAGTTTTGCTAGTTGGAAAAAAATATTTCCCGAGTTTATGTTCAGCGTCGAAGAAAAACGAGGTGGGCGTTCTTTTGATATTTTGTGTCGTGTAGGTTATTGCAGCCACTTTAGTATTCTATTTCTAGTGATGGTTTTTTTCATAAATATTTGTTATTGAAATATTGAACTGTTAGTTTTATAGTTTTTAAATATGGTAATTCAGTATTGTGATCACGTATTCGATAGTGCAATATTTGTTATTCAGTTTTGCACTCGAACGCTTGTGGTGTTTCTACAACATATTTAATATTTGCCTAAGCGTACTAGTATCAAATCTCATCTAACCAGTAATTATAGAATATAATACTAACCTTTGGTAATTGTATTTTTTTAAATATTTATTTTCTACTATTCACCAGAATAAAATGTGAAGGTAAAAAGAACGTGTCCTCTGATTGCGTCTACCTCAGTGTATTTTTTCGAATATTTAATATATCAAAATGGAAAAAGATAATGATAATTTTATTTTTACAATTTCACATTATGTACATATGTAAGCGTTATACTCGGAAGAAAAACAAAACAAAGTAATTAAAAACCAATGAATTGTATACGGTATGCTGAATATAATACATTACCGACCACGTCTTTTGATTACTATTTTTTTTTACTTTGACGACAGCATCGTTCCGTGTGAGAAATGTCACGGATTACAATATGCAAATTGTAATATGTGTGTCCCTGACATATACATACACCTTCATAATATAATATAATATAATATAATATAATATAATATAATATAATATAATATAATATAATATAATATAATATAATATAATATAATATAATATAATATAATATAATATAATATAATATAATATAATATAATATAATATAATATAATATAATATAATATAATATAATATAATATAATATAATATAATATAATATAATATAATATAATATAATATAATATAATATAATATAATATAATATAATATAATATAATATAATATAATATAATATAATATAATATAATATAATATAATATAATATAATATAATATAATATAATATAATATAATATAATATAATATAATATAATATAATATAATATATATAATA